TAGAAGGCACTCCCTGTCCAAAGCAGTAAACCCATGTACGTTTACCTTCTGCCACCCTATTGTGTTCTGCAATGTTTGAGATCATAAATCTTCAGATTACAGGGTTAGATATTTGAAATACAGGAGCAAAAATCCAGCAGCAGGCAAAACTCCACTGGTGAATTGATATGTAACAGGAAATCAATGAATATCAGTAACCTGTGTCTGCTAATAAATATAGACTAGAATGTATAACTAGATAAGTCACAAAACACATTTTGCACAAATATTTAGAAAAGTTTTACAATGACTAGATGAAATGATTTGCCATTAGTGACAGGTGAAAAGGATGAGTTCCTGCAGGTTTATTTTAAATAGTCTTAACCAAGAACATTTTGAATGCATTTAGCAAAAAACAGTAGCAAAACCAAACACTTTCTCACTGGGGACAAGGAAAGAAGGCAAGATAAAAAGATACGGAAAAGGTGACCTTTCCGTCAACTGTTTTGACTGATGCCTCTTTAGAGACAAGAGAAAAAGCACATAAGCAACAGTGAGCAGCAATCTCATGTCCCATACAAATCATCTGGATTAGATGGGTGTAACAGATTTGGAGAACCTCCATGGGAAGAAAAGTGTTACTGCCAGAAAGAGATTATAACACTCTGACAGATCGGTTTGATAGATGTTCAGAAGGACTTCCCATAAAATGTCTTGTTCCAAAAGTAATCTAGGCTACTACAGGATCAGAGGACAGTATCCTCACGGGGAAAGAGAGTGGATTAAAACACAGAAATCACAGGGCATGGAATAAAAGGCCAGTTTTCACACTAGTGGGAGATCAGTAGTGGAGCTGAAGATTTGTGCTGGGGTCTATACTCCTAACCACTATTTTAGAAAAGGAACTAAAGTGAGGTGAAGATTTGCTGGAGGTTAGTCAAGGGAAAAAAAAATGAGGAATGACAGGAGAACCTTTTGCTGTTGAGTGACTGGGCACTGTAACAGCAAATTACACCCAGCACAGGTGACTAGCAGTTCAGCTCCAGCTGTGCCTTCCAGGCCCTCCAGCAGAGGTCAGGGAAGACAGCTGGTAGCAGCAGCTCACGACCACAGTCAAATTCCAGAGTCTGAGCTTTGCTTTTTCATGTTATCCTAATGAATGCAGCAACTCCATCTACTGATAAAGCACTATGCAGAAGAACTGAAATAAGCAGACAGAATATACTATAGAATATTTAGGATAACATTTCTTTTTCCCCAGAAACTGTACCACACTGCAACTTTTACTACTTCATAAATGGCACTTCAAAGCAGGAGAGGAGCAGAAAAGCTACAGACAAAAAATGGCTTTAACAGAAGACACTTGAATAGTTCAGAAGAGAGATGAGTTTTACTTGAGTATCTTTCTCAGAAAAGTCAGTATGGAAAAGTACTCACTGCATCTTAAGACAAGTTACTTTTAGAGCAATAGAACAGTTTTTCAAAGATTGCTGTCAAGATTTAAAATAGCTAGCAATTAATGTGAATACTTTAAAATATTTAACCTATAAAGCCCAAAACGGAGTTCTTGATGCCTGGTCTGTTTGTTTCAAAACTGCTCACTAGCTGAAGAAAGAATCTTCCAGGACAGTTCCTCTTCCTCTCCCCTCCACCCCACCCCGTAAGAGAGAGGATTTCTGAGAAAAGGCTCAGAACTTTAGGGAAAACAAACCAACAGACCCCACTCTCCTCAGCTGTCAGACATCCATGGCATTCATCACAGCAGGCCAACTCGCAGTTCCTGTTAGAAATCTCCTGAGTTACGCAGTTTATGAAACATGTGAGGAATATTCTATATCTGATTTCAGAGCGGAAAAGCCGGACTGCAAATAAAATGCACATGACAAGTAGTAAATGACATAACTCAAATAGTGCACGTTTATTCTGAACTGTATTTCTAAAGAGTTTGAGAAAAAACAAAAACATGCTCCTGATGTACAACAAGGGCAATGATATAGATTAGAAATGGACCATCTTATTGTAAAGAATTTGCTCCCCCTGCAACTTAACTCATAACATTGAGAATGCATCTGTAAACTGCATACAGCATAACTCTAAATTTTAACTCAAGAGACCAGGGGTGGTCTTAGCCAAATTAATCAGGAAGCAGTTGCAGATTCAAAAGAAACATCCAAGTCAGCAAACACTTTACAAAACACAGACTTTGTGCATAGCAGCTGATCCTGGATTACAACGGGGGAGAACGAAACAATCTGGGAGATCAAATTTTCACTAGACACAGGGCACCATCAAGATTTAACAAAATATCACTTAAGTTTGTTTCAACTGTAACAGTATGTCATATTTAGTTGGCAGATTTAACCATTAGCTGCATCATGTAAACTTAACCAGTTTCTGTACACACAAAATAAAGCCTTTCCCTTGCCCCTCCCAAAAGCGAGGGCTATCTCTCCTGGGTGATGATTTTCCCCCTGTACTATGGTTTCCTCTAGCAGGAGTCTCTTTGTAGGTATCTTCATGCTTCAACTGACGTACACCAAAACCAGCTGCAGAGATTCAGGAATAACTCGTATATACAGAGTTTATACTTTAACGCTTTTAGTTGCATACATCTTCCTTGCTAGATCTTCATCGAGAACAGGAAGTGCTAGTGGGTTGTTGTGTTTTTTTTCCCACTGATCCTCACAACTTTTAAAACAATTTAGTTGTTCACAAGCTGTTATTTTCAAGCTAACATCTGCAGCAACATCTGAAGCAGCTCAAGTTCTCTGCAGCAAGCCTATACTTGACACAACTGCAGTGTCTCTGGGTAACAGCACTAAGACAGCATTCTCCTCCTGCACAGCTGATACACTAACAGTACTACAACCGTTAGTTGTACAACTGTTTGTCATCCAGAACTACCAACTTTCACTCACCCTTATCCATGTACAGGGAACACAGCTTTCTAAGAGATTCAGATTAAACCATGTATTCAAGATTCAACAACCGTTCTCCAGGATTAATAGCCTGGGAAAAAGGATCTTAGATTTGTGGTTAACTCTCTCTTCCACCTCCTACAAAACATTTGATCAGAAGTTACAATGAGGCAGGTTTGCTGTGGAATAGGAGCTTTAAGAATTGTTTTCAGGGATACATTCATAGAATGATGGCAGCCCAAAGCAAAGAAGAGACAGAAACAAAAGTTAATCCAAGTAAGTTCAGACATCAGACTCGTACTTTTAAACCTGAAGAAAAACTGTCTGTGAAACACACCAATTTGTGGAAGCCTACGACAACAGCAAATCCTAAGAGTTCATATCCCCACACCCATCTATCCAACCCAAACACTTACCCATTTAGTTCTAGAAGAATGAAGAGCACTTTGCTTGGCACCAGAGGCAGCTATGGTCTGAGTTACAGCTGTGCTGCACAAACATCCTCAAATACAACACTATTTTCCTTTGCATACTTCTCTTGGTTTGGTCTACAGATGGCCAGGGAAACTATGTTGGCATCTGACAAGCAAATTGTGCTTCAATACATCCCTTTCTAGAAAGATGCCAGAACTGCCAACGTAACCAGTGCAAGCAGGTCCTAACAGTACTAAAAATAAGCTTTTGTCAAAACTAGCCTGCTTCTGGCCGAGGAACCCATTTGCATCTTTCTAGCCAGAGCCTGCCACTGAGCGTTGCTAATGCCAGTGCTCGAGCCACGCAGAGGGGATTTTGTTGTCAGCGACCTCCTCATCCTCAAGACTCAGTCAGTGCACACCCAGCAAATAAAGTAGCCATTTTCCAGCACAGGTCTGTCAAGATGCACTCTAACAAACACTGTGCACCTCTGGGAAAGGAGGAGTAACTCTGGAGCAGCTTGTACAGTCACCCCTCAGGTGACAAAGACCGCAATTAATGCGCAAGCAGGGGTGCCATCCCTTGCCTCACCACAACTCCGGTCTTAAAATCCTTGGTTCCCAAGTCACCCTTGAATGACTGGACAGCACTTACTAACCAGACGCATGCCGCAACACGCGCTGTAGGTTGGAGGCTTTCAAAGTGGATGAGTTCAAGACGCAGATTTAAACTTCAGAAAAACAAACAGGAAAGGAATGCAGTATCTACTCGGGCGATGGGGTAAGGTGGTGTTGTCTCAGCTCAGTGCACTTTCCCAGGTGCTTGGAGAAGAGTCCAAGCGCAGGTTGGTATTTGTATTGGCATACATAAAGTCGCTGGCGACTGTATAGAAAGGAGCACTGATATTCGCGCAAACAAAGCACGGAAGGATGCAAAGCAGAGCTTAGTAGAGTTTACTGTAGCTTTGAGGTTACAGTACTAGGAAGAAGCCATTCAGCCTATTTTCCAAACCCATAAATGCTCTAATAAATGCTGCTTTCTCTGGCGCTCCATGAACACCCTCTCAACGAGAGGAGAACTCCTTTATTACCACTGAACAGGGAAAAGGGAAAATCACCTTCAAAGGAGCAAACCGTGCAGTTCTTCACCACCTCCTCCTGAAGGAGCTCATAAACACAGCAAGCCAAGCTAATCCCAAACAAACCCAGGAGACCGCTGCAAAGCTATGTGATCAGGGTCAGATTCATGTTTGCCTTCTCAGCCTTGCTGCCTGGTTTCCTGAACCCTCATCTCATCTCAGATGTGTCACCACAGATTTAGTAGCCGTTCTCAAATTTATCTGGAGATGGGTGCTTGCCTTACATGACCAACGCTGTTAAGATGATCACAGTCACTTTCCCATTCCGACGACACAGGTAAAACTCTCAATGAGCCCTACAGCATTTCACCCATTTTAAAGCACGGGTCTTATCTCAGCATTTGTATTTTCACAAGGTTACTCTTGCCAACACCAGATCTAGCTCTAATTCTGGCAGAAGTCTGCTGGGAGTTGGGTAAACGAAAAAGAAAAAAAAAACAAACCAAAACCCAAAAAACCAAAGACCACTCGAAACCCTCCTCTCAGTTAGGAAGTGTAGCACCAGCTTAGGTGAGGAGTATTTAAAAAAAGCATTCAAAAATATCAGCCCAGGCAGAGTGTAAAGGTATGGTAAAGTAGCCCGCTCTTCGCAGCGAAAGATGGAGGAAAAAGCCATACTAAAAAATATTGGGAAGAACTAAACATATTTTTCTGAGGCGGGGGGAATTAAGAGGAAGAGTAGGAAGTATTGAAGTAACATTCAAAAGTTGGGGGGAGTAAAGTACCCTGTAGGCTATAAAAAACACAATAATCTAGGAGTCAAAGGACAAGATATTGCTTTTCCTTTTTTCCCCCCATTGGATTTACATTCTGCTTACTGAAAGAGATAATTCTGAAGGAAACTTGTCATCAGGATAACCTGCTCAAGCCCTCCACACCTCAAAATTAAAAGAGATCTGCACATCTTTTCCCACCTCCCCAAAAAAAATCTAAACCCGAAACATAATTGGACGATCCTTGGAAGAAGCATTACATTTTGTTGGAGAGAGGTCAAGAAAAAAAAAATTAAGAAGATGAAGGGGTGGAGTTAAAAAAAAAAAAATAGTCAAGAGGCCTCTCTTTCCTTATTTGGCGACAAGCAAGTGCAAGAAAGTGTTCGTTGGGGGTTTGTTCAGTTGTCGGTCTTTTGCACATCTGCGTTCTGGCCAAGACAAGGGGCTTTGAGGTTTTTCTGCAGCACATGAGCATCTGCGGGCTCTATCCTCTTGTAGTAGTTTTTCTTTGTCTCAATGATCTCGAAGCCAAACTTTCTGTAGAAGTCAATTGCCGACTCGTTGCTGATTTGGACATGCCTGGGACAGAAAAGAGGATAGAAAAACAGGTATCAGAACTTTCTGTGGTACAGTACTCTGCCTCCACACTCGGAATGGCCAAGAAAAGATAGGAAAACGATCTATCTAGATAAAGACAGGAATGATGGTGTAAGCTCGGGACTCTAAATTTTTGTCTTCCGAAATCAATCCTGAGCTTCTGGATGGCCTGTGGCAATCATTCTGAGAAGTGGCAAATGTTTCCCCTCAGTAAAACTTTTAGAAAACACAAATAGCAGAGACACTCTGAAGCATTACTAGCTCAGTAACTGCAATTTTTCTGAATCTGGAAGTGACAGTTATTTTGAGGAAATATATAACAAAGTTTCACTGTAGAGCCAATTTTAACTTCCTGTAGTGACACTTCTCCAAGGACGCGAACAGTTGTCTGTATGGTGATCCCTACACACTGCAAAACTGGCAACAGTGTTTTGATAAAATTTTAATTCCCTGCTCACTTTTATCTATGCCTCTCTGCTCAGAAAAAGCTATGGCAGCACGAAGAAGCCCCATGGACTTACAAAGTCCTATCCTCTTTTAACTACCCCAGAGTTCCACAGATCTTGCTAGCATATTCCAAGAGTTTCAAAGCCTCCCAAACAAAAAAAGGCATCAGTTTTTCGTCCTAAGTGAGTAGTACATTTATTTGCATGAGGTCTCTTAGAAAAAAAGAAAAAACAAGAAAAAACAAGAAGAAAATGAAGATGTTTGGCTCAGAAAAAGGTATTCATTAAACGCTCTCAAAATTCAGTGGGTGCTGCACAAGCTCATTAATCACTTTGTCATGACAACATGCTGCATAACCATAGAATCAAAGCAACTCTGTAAGCAACAGCAGAACAAAACAAAAGATCTTACTGTTAAACCCTATAAGCACCAAAGGGAACCTCATAATAACAACAAATTTAGGCACTGATATAAATTTGAGTGCTAAGCTGCAAAATACGTTCAAATAGAAGATGCACAAGTCATAGATCTAGTAATAAAATCAATGGGCCACTAAAAGAACTTTGTTACACCCACCTTTCGGAGCTATTTATCATATATCCCAGAATCCTACTCTGGGAGGCGGAAGGATTGTGAAGGATTTAGTTTTTGCATTAAAACGAGCAAAGGGTTCCTTCACGGTGCACAAAGCAACGTGCCAAAGCAAAAAGGAAAGCCTGTGCCAACTAGTAGGCACCCAAGAGGGAGTTCATTACCACTTCTTCTGAGCCAGGAGAACGGGAGTGCAAGCCCAGAGTAGCTTCACTCAAACTCCTCTTTGAAACACCTGTTTCTCTTACAGACATGGCAAAAAGCTACAACAGCAGAGGACTTGATGGACTTTGCACTTCCTTGACAGAGGTGGGCTAAGCCCAAGGAGAAGGTCACTCTGTTTATAGTGATATCATCTTCCAGAGTCCTGACAAGAGTTCAGGGTGCAGTTCCATCCACCCAAGCCACACCTCCTGTGAGACTAACCCTACCAGTGCACCCTGCCTGTGCTGGTATAAACCAGCAGTGACAGATGAAGAAGAAGCTGGCTCAGAGAAGTGACCTGTCCGAAAACTGCCTGAGCTCAGTCAGTAATCACAGAGACACCAACGCACAGGAAGGAGCAGAAGTGTGCAACCAGTGGCGAAGGGGAATCACAGAACCTTAGGGGCTGCAAGGGACCTTGAAAGATCACCTAGTTCAACCTCCTCCTCCCCCCCCCAAGCAAAGACTTGGCATCTAGGGATTTCAGGCTCTATTTCCATGGAGACCTATTAGGATGGCAGTGCTCTTTAAAGCAGCCCTATCCTCCACCCCAGTGCTGATTCTCATGTCTGCATCACGTCAAGTGCTTATGTAGATGTGCAGTTGATTTAAAATAAAACAAAAGCCTCCAAAACCACTAAACCAAAAAACAACACCCAGAAACAAAACTGAAAACAGCTTCCCAAGGTGGGTCAGATTGTTCACCTGGCACAGGACAAGAATGGAAATAAGCAGTTGGGCCTTGCTACTGAATGTGAACCCAGAGGGTATCTGAAAGCACCTCTGATTTCATGTTCCAACAAACACAGTACTGTCATAAAAGACAGACAGCAAATGCCTCAAAACTGCGTGCAAGACTTGCAGTATTTTCCACTCTGAGGGTGACGCTATATGGTAAAAAAAATCTCAAATTTCTTTTTTTTTTTTGTCACACAGTGTAATTCTGTTACAGAACATCATTTTGTAACTAAACTACTTTCAAATTCAGCAAATTTGCAGAACCCTTCTAAAGCAAGAGAGCTTTTGGTTTTCTCAACATCACACAACAAGCCCAGAATATTACCCCTAGCTTTCTTGTTAGTACTTACAAGATGGCCCATGACCCCACAGAAATACATAATAAAAATGCTCTTGGACCTCCCTCCCTTTGCTCTCATATATGCTTCTACCATCCCTCCAAAAAAATATAAAAATGCATGAGTGCATCTCATTTACTTACAGATAGATGTTGTCAAAAGTGCCATCTTTTTCACAGATGTTTAAGACATGATTCAACATTTTAGTTCCTGCCAAAAGGTAAAAAGATACTTAAGAAAACCAGAAGTTCACAACTGAGTCTGACCTTAGCCAAGGGCTTTCTTGAGGACAAGCAGGTGAGGTGTAGGTAGCCTAAAACAATGGAGCCTGTGAGAACTAGGAAAGGCAAATAAAACATAGTGTGTAAGCATTTCACTCTTTCTGATCACTCATAAAATATAATACAATTTTTCTTTGGAGAAAAAAAACCACAAACAACAGCCCAGAAGCAACTTACTTAAATACTAACTTCAAGGTCTCAAACTCACCTCAAAATACGGTCAAAACAATACATAAAGCAGTGAGAGCATTGGTAAGTTTTTTTCTAATAAAGACCTAATAAAATAATTTAAAATAAACACATCTTTTCATTCCCGTTTGACAAAGTAAACAGGTTACTGTGTCTCGATTAATCTGGCCTATGGATTTGCAACACGGAGAAAAGAACTACTTGCAGTATAGAGAGAAAACAGGTACTACTCTATGCAGCAGTAATCAGTAATGATTGAGATAAAATACATTTTTAAGAGTGAAGAGATAACCCAATGAAGAAATGTTGCGTTCCACTTACACATGACTAGCATAGTGGCTGCGTACCTCTAACAAACTATTTCAGATCTCTGTGCATCCATTTTCACATCTACAGAAGCAGAGTTTTTACATCACAGTATGATAATGTGATCAAGAGTAAAATAATCTGAAATCCTGAATTACAAAGTTCATTTGTGAAAGGCAGGGAAAAAAAGAGCACATTATAAATCATACTCTTTCCTCAAAGTCTCTTCCAAAGAGACCAGTGGTCTAAAAATGCACTGTCTTGGCTGAAAATCCAAAAGAGCATTTAGAAGGCTGCCCAGCAATCCGGTTTCTTTGATGACTCAGATACACAACAAGATCCTCCTTACCTATTCCTAGCCTTCGGTAGGGTGCCAGGCATCCGAGCGTCATGATGTACAGTCTCTTCTGGTTCTGGGAGTGATCCACCCTACAGCACACCGCTCCCACTGCGATATCATTGAAATAGGCTGCCAGGGAGGGAAACAAAGCGTTACTGGTCACAGGTCTCAAACTGCACACGCAGCTCCTTCATTTACATGCTCTGTCTTCCCTTCCTTCCCTCCTCCTAATTCTCCCCTCCAGATAACCGTATCGCATGTTGTGGCTTAACACTCAGAGCGAAGCTACCAACAGTGCTCTGACACCGAGGTTGGCTTATTACAGTTCAAACCAGCAACGGCATCAGGAGGTAAGCTGTCAGCACACAGAACTCTAACAGAAAACACACACCTATTTCCAGGAAAACAGAATCTGTTTCCCAACCCACTGAGGTTGGGAATGTGGCTTTTTGAGGTTCCCAAACAGTTATTTTTCATTAAGGAAAACAACAAAATAGAAGAATCTGCTATTCGAACCCATTACAGATAGCAATGATAAGCACTTCCGCCACCATAGCCCACAATTACTGGCAAGAACATTTGTACCTAATTTGGCTAGTTCGCCAACCTCCAGTACATCCTTGTAGAACTTGTCATTGTAGCTGACAGGAAAAATGACCTGGTTTAGCCTCTTCAGCTGCTTAATGTTGTGTGGCGTCACATCTCCCAGCTCGATCCGGCTACTGGAACAAATCAAAACATGCTTAACATCTGACACACTACAAAATGTCTAAGAACACCAAAAATTAATTATTTTATTTATGCTTAGAGAACTGTCCCACCTAATAAGCAGGTCAATACATATTTGAACTGTAATGTTCAACCCATACAATTAAGTCTTCTGTCGGTGACCGATTTAACTCTCAAACCCAATTTCAGTTGCCACTACACAGCCAGAAGTCTTGCAGGCCACACTTAACACTCTGACGTACCACAGTATATGTGTGATTTTATTGTGTGGGAGACAGGACAATACAAATTTGTTTTATTTGTGTTTTATCCCATTATTGTTCTCATTGATTATTAAGACCACAGGGGAAAAAAGAAAAGGAAAAAAAAAAAGAAAAAAATAATAAGATCTGAGAGACACATGGCTAAAACAGAGACTAAGTCAAATGAAGTCCTTATCCATGCTTCAAAGACAGCTCGAATTTTACCACCTATCAACATAAAGCTTATGCTTAGACAAAGTCATTACTAGACATCTGTCTCTAAAAAGCAACAACAATGTGTGTAACAAACTCAGGTTCAGCCTGTTAATATGCAAGCATGCCGCTGTGAAGATGACATCTGCATCGATCATGATCATCATTGAAGTAATTTTTCCTGTTGACTGGGAGCAGAATTACAACCTTGAAATGCCAGTACTGCACTGAATTATAATGAAAAGAAACAGACCAAGCTTCTTCCTTTTCTAAAACTACTTTCCTGACAGAAACACTACATATAGAGAAGGAAACTTTAAAAAAAAAATAAAAATGGGTGTTCATATTCCCCAAGCCAATTTCTTGGGTGCAGAAAGGACTACAAGAAAAAAATAATTAAAATCACCGATATAATAAAAATGTTTTCCCAAATGGTCACCAGAATACATAGTCAGGTACAAAGCCAATGCATGTCGAGTTAGAAACAAACGCAATTCTAGGTTCATCTCAACCTTGTTTTCCCAGATACATACAGTCAACTATGCCACTATGGATGCTTGCAAATGGTTCCAGGCAGCTCCTCATCTATCTTCCCCCTACCACACTGGTTTTCTCTGTAACCTCATACTAGGAGAAAAAGAAGAACCAGCAGCTTCTTTTGCTGCATGAGGGCGGAAACCAAAGGGAGCAGGTCTCAAGTGCCCAGTTAGATCAGATTAGCTGCAGAGCAGGACGTCAGTAAGGGAAGAGGAAAACCCCACATTCATACTCAGTCCCTTGAAAGCTTATACCTCTAGTACAAAAGATTTAATAGTGTATTAACCTTGGTGATACTTTTTTGTTTTCTATCAGTAGATCCAAGCTTCAGTAGATCAGTAATGCTAGCATGAACTCTTACGATGAACTCACAGCAAAATTGTTATAGAGCAAGTCGCACAAAAATCTGACACAGACTGTTATAAAGTAGTGTGTTTTCTAATACCATTTTTAAATTAATTAGTTACTAATGAAGCAAGAAATCAGGCATTAGAAGACAGCCACTATGGCATATTTCTGATGACACTGCAAGAGGACAAAGATATATTGTCAGGATCAGCCAGGACAAGATGGCTGAGAAAGGGACCCTGACCAGAAGACAGACTTTCACCAAGAAAGTTTCAGACAAGGAATAAATTAAAAAGTGCAGAAGCAGTGTCTAAGGCTGCTTCTAGCTGCTGAGACAAGACATCACCTCCAAGGCTGGCACTAGGCCAGCAAAACAAGTTCCAGTAGCAGGTGGCTAAGAGGTGCTGTTGAAAGATCTCCTAGAGCCTTCGGGCTCCTCACCCCTCTTCTCTCATCACTTGCACGTTCATTGCTGCCTCCTGCCATCTCCTCCCGCCTGCCTCCCGTGCTGTGTCACTAGCTGTTTCTTCATTGCTTGAGAGTTACACCAGGGCCAGTAATCTATCCTGGAGGGTAACAAAGTTTGAGAAACACTGCAGGAAGCATAAATCAATATGTTAAAAATGCCTGTTTAAATAGTATGTACTCAAACCATAAATTACTTTAACATACAGCACTAGCTAGTTAAAGCAGCACTACACCTACTACACACAAAAACATTTAATAAGTAAGCTAAATGAGGACATGGAAAGGAAGACCCACATCATGAGAGTTCATCATTTTGCCTGAGGACAGCGCAGCAAAAGTGCCACTAGGGTCTGGAGTAAAAACACAGGAAAGCTGGCACTGTGGCTGAGAGCAGCAGCCTTGCTGTCCCCAAGCCACTCCTTTCCATTCTCTTGCTGGCAAACAACCATGTGGTGAACCAACTCCAATTAAAACTAACCTTGCCAAAAAAATAAAAATAATAATTAAAAATGTTTAGCTTTAACCCACATCAGTCCCCTTATCGGGTTCATCATATGGGTCTTCCGCCAGCATAAAGCAGAGAAAAAAACTGCCAGAGGCAGAACTGGCTGGTTCACGAGCAGAAGTGCCACCCTAGCTCAGTTTAAACTGCAAGTACTGTGCAAGATTAGCACGGGGATCATTCAGTATCTTGATGTTTTTGTGCTACACCTTATCATTAACGGAACAACATGCACTCTGAACCTCAGAACTTAAAACTACTCCAGCCTCAAAAGATCTAAGACAATGCACCTGTAACAAAGGGCACAAAATGATCACTCCTTTCTTTTCTTTGGAGTAACAGAAATAGCTTTCGGGCTTGTTTTGATTTGTTTGGTTTTTAATAGCTATTTACAAGTATACCTGCTTCTTCAAGTTACTTCTCAGTCAGACCAGTGACATAAATTCACTGTACCAGCTAAGGTCTTGTTAGGCCAGTTCTGTGCATTCCAGCTCAGTGCAGCCTGTGCCAGAAACACCTGTCCTCTGCCATTGCAAAGAAAAAAAATAAATCACAAGCTCAAATTAATATATGAGAGAACATAAAGATGTTTAAGGGGCCTGAAGCGCCAAGATGCATGTCCTTCCTTAAAAGATTGTTTTATTCTATTATTCCAATAATGTTCCTAAGATACACACTTATTACGGGCATGCTTCATCTCGAATAGCACTCCATGGAGCACACAACAGTCACCTGTGCCCATCTTAGGTGTCAAAGCTTCTGCACCAAGTCGGCCACCCCATCTCAAGAAACTATTTTTAATATGGAGGAACAAGGGACTCTTGACTCACCATGTCAGGCCTATTTACAGTGCTCTGAAAATACATACCCTTTCCTAGGTGGAATACCAGCCCTCTGAATCCACTTTGACATCTTCCACTGCAAGGCTGTTCCCAAACTACCCTTATTCTCATAATTAGGCTGACTTCTGATTTCCACCCTCAATGTACTCAAGTCCACCCATATGCTGTCTCCTGTTGCTCATTAGCTTCAGCACTTACTGGGTACCAATGCAGCCTATCCCACATGCCTTCTCTGAGAGCTACCATGACCCCTTTATACTTTCCTCCCTCTAACTAAAGTCAAGCTCCTGGCCTCCTCCTTTAAGACTGGCTCTTAATTCCTACTACTGTCATATTAGCTCTTCTTTCCATTCCCTCAGCTTAATTTTCCTTAAACATGGCTAACCAAAACTGCTTACAGCACCCCAAATACTTACTATTTCCTTCTACAATGGTAGTAAGTTTTTCACATCTCCACCAGAAGCATTTTCCTGACATATCCCAGAACTACATTTGCATTTCTCACAATTGCAACTTACTGTAACTTGGTTACTGTGGAAAAAAACCAGTTTCTGGTGTGTAAGGCTGCTGTTCATTAGAAGCGCACAGCAAGGCTGCCCAGTGACCCGAGAGCAGAAGTGAAGAGTGATCCACAAAATCAGAATGGAAGTGAGACTTTAGCGAGGCAATATGCAGCAGTTACCGAAACTCTATGTATGCCCAGAACGTCAGAGTTAACACTCCTCATTTTGCATGCCAGTGCCCTAAGATCCTTCAGGCACCTGCTAGAAAAAAACTCACACTTTTTGTAGGATGAAATGCAAACGAATTAGTCCTACTGTGACAACATTCCTCTATCTGCAGCTTACTATAGGTCTGTGATTTGAGGTCTATTTTTCCCCATAACATCTTCAATTTATACTGGCGGAAGTAACACAGGCTAAATGAGACATTAGTGTTTGTTTAGGCTAAGGCTTCTTGATGTATACTAAAGGAGAACTTCTACATGGAATGACAGCTTAAGAGGAAGCAAATTTCCAGTGTTACAGTGCAACAGGAAACAAATTCGGTGCCAGGGAACAGCAGGTGTTGAAGGCTAGTTTAGAATCAGTATCGGGGATAGAAAAGGTGAATTCCAAGTTTCTTAATGCTGTAAGAATCTCAGTCTCTTTCAACTTTAAATAGTGCAAGTCTCTCCCCAGAGGGATGTGCCTGACTGAAACAGATCTCAGTGTAACTGATAGCTGGGCTCAGGCTTATTGAAGGCATCTGGTATGCTAAATTTAGCAGAGCTGTATCTGCAACTCACAAAACTTACAGAGGTATCATCAAACAGGAGAGAGAGCATGGGGGGAAAAGGGCCCTAACAAATTACAGAACTTCAGGGAAGGTTTGTCACCCGCTAAGCAGCCAACAAGCTTTATTGCTCCTATTTCGGCTTCCAAGTCAAAGCAGGAGTCTAGACAGGATAATCCACTCATAAAATAAAAGCAAACCAGAGCTACAAGAGCTATAGACCTGAAGGGCGTGGCTTTGCTTAGATTCAACTCCAAAGCCAAAAGAGCATCACTAGTATTTTGGGGTTGGTTTATGTTTTGGTTTTGTTTGTGGTTTATTTTTTTTTTTTAAAACAAACAAAAAAAATCCACACCACACAAAAAAGACCCAACAGATGAGCTGTCTTGCTAGGCACACAAGTTAGTCTAGTTCTTGTGGGCAGACTGGTATGTTTTCAATTATCTAGAAGATCTGTGGGCTGTAAATCTACTCTGCTTTACTTGTGAGAAAACCAGAAGGATAAGCCCAAGTCTAGCATGCAAAAATTCTTACCAATTTGCTTCTGAGCTCCTCTGGTCTTCTTTAGCCCCATTTACTACTGAAAACATATGTCTGCATGACACCTGAGACC